AGCACCACATGCCAGCCAGCCCTGCCCCCTGGTGGGCTGAGCTGGCCACACACACACACACACACACACACACACACACACACACAAATAAATAAAATTTAAAAAAAAAATCAATGAGTGAATGACTAAGACTTTAAATGGTAAAAAGTAAAAAAAAAAAAAATGATAAAACCTCACCAATATTCATGAGATGCTATTCTTGCAAAGCTATCCCCCAAATACAAATTCTCTGCATCTATTCTGCTACTTTTCTTTCCTACTTTTCTTACACAATTGAAGGAAAATTATATAAAACTTTTGCTTTAAGAAATTGAGATGTAAATATAGATAAAATTACAACTTATACCCTATAAAGGTAGTTGAACAAAAACATACACTCAAAGTAAGTGTCAAAAATGGGACCTAACATAAAAAACAAAAGGTAACTTTTATCCAGGCCACTGTTCTACCTTTGAAAACCCATGGAGAAGAGAATGAAGTGATTCTATCCCACTGTTATCTGCATAAAGACGACTGTTTCTTTTCTTTTTCACTGCAGTGGGCACTGAATCCAGAGCCTTGCACACGATAGGCAAACATTTTACCAATGTGCTATATTCAGTACTTATTATTTTCAGACTAGTTCTTACTAAATTGTTCAGGCAGATCTTGAACTTGTGATCCTTCTGCCTTAGTCTCTAGGGTATGTGGGATTACAGGCATATGCCACTGTGTCTGGCTTTGTATATGACTGATTTTAAAGGCCTTTCTTCAAACAGTTACTAATCAGGTAGCATTTTAAGTTATAACTAAGCTGAACCAAAAGAATTTGGATTCTATTACTTGCAAATTTTAAGGAGAATAATTAGCAAGACTCTTACAGATAGGACCAGCAAGATAGCTCAGTGGACTAAGTGCCTGCTTAGGCAAGCACAGGGCCTGCGGTTCAATCCCTGGCACCACACACCACACCAGCCCTGTCCCTGGGCATGCTGAACCGGCCACCCACCAGCTATGGCAGTATATGCCTGCAATCCCAGTGCTGGGGAGGCTGAAAACAGGAGGATCACTACAAGCTGTGGAGTGAGACCCTGTAACAATCAAATATATTAAAAAAAAAAAAAAAAAGCACCTTACAGATTTATTCTTACCTGTCTCTTGTAGCTTTGGCAAGTTTGTCTTCTGACTTTCGGTCATGTGTTTCTAAACCCAACATGAAACTTCCTCGGCCCAGTTGAGCTTCTGACTGTTCTAACTTTTCAGACAAATCAAACACTTGACCAGTGGTATAGTCTGCATTCTATGGAGAATATGGCAATGTATCAGTATATAAGTCTACCATTAAAAAAAACCCAAAACACCAAAAACTACTACATATTTGTCAATTGATTCCTTTTCTACATAGAACACACGTTTATACAAAGAATTCCACTCTAAAACCTGAGTTTTTAATAGAAACTCTGTGAAAGTTTTTTACAAAACCTGAGTCATTACAAAAGTCAAAGGCAGGGTTGGTATTGCATACCTGTAACCCCAGCACTCTAAGAGGTCAACACAGGAAGGCTAGAAGTTCCAATCCAGGTTGGGTAATTTAGGGATTTGGCCAGACCATGTCTCAAAATAGGAAAGTGGGCAGTCACTGTGGTTGCAGGGTTAAGTTTGCCCAGTAGGTGGATCTGGGGTTCAGTCCTCATTATTAAAACAAAACAACAAGTCAAAAACTGCTTCCATATTGAAGTAGTTTGAGTATAGATATTTTTCTTATGATTCCAAGATTAAATTTGAAAATTTTCTTTTTGCCAGTTTAAATCTAGTGACACCTGAGTTTATAAACTTGCTTTGTTCTATGATTTTGGGGAAGATAGCTGTGTTCATGGTCCTTACCTGATGCAAAGTTTACCAACAGAAGCAAAATTATGCTGAATACTTCTGTTTGTAAACTGAACTGACTGATGAACAGAAGTGTTCATACAGCAAGGAAAATACCACTGTACCTGTTGTTATGGGAGGTTTTTTTTTTTTTTTTTTTTTTTTAAGACAAGGTCTTGCTATATAATTCAGGCTGGTTCAAATGCCTAGTGCTCCTTCTGCCTTAGCCTCCTGAACTTTGGGATTATGGGTGCATACCAGTATGCTCAGCTTATGGGATGCTTTAGAGTACATAAATCTGAAGCTAGGTTCTGGGCCTCCTGCAGACTAATGAGGGGGAGCTGGGGCATGCCTCTTGCCTTCTGAAAATTAGCAAGGAAGGCAGTAATTTCTACCTAAGGCTATATTTGGAAAGAATTCTCTCTCTCTCTCTCGATATATCTATGTAGATATATGAGGATAATGAGGAAAATGAGGCAATGTAAGCTGCTATGATGTGACTACTTTTGTGACACCATCTGCTGACTCAATGTCCACTCGCAAGGCCTGGAATATTCTAAGAGCAATGATAAATACCCCTTCCACGGGACCCTAGTGTTAACTTCACATGAAAATCCTTGATACTGGTCATGGTTAGATAGATAGATCTATCTCTATCTCTATCTCTCTATGTCTCTATGTCTCTATCTATCTATCTATCTATCTATCTATCTATCTATCTATCTATCTTTCTTTCCAAAGAAATTATACATCAAGAAAAGAAAAGCTTGCATAAATAAGCTAATAATAAATTTATTGAGACACAACGAGATTAATACAAGTTACCTTTGCCCTCTACAATTATGAGAGGGGCTCAAAGTAGTGGTCACTAGCTTTTGACATTTATCAGTATGGTGTATTGCTGAAGTGTGTAGTTTTTTGGTTCTCTTTGCTGTTATCTAATTTTATTGTTTGTTGAACTTTTAGAATTACTTTTAAGAAAATATTTTAAATATTGTTTTTAATTTTTCTGGTTATAGAATCAAGTTATTACAGAAAATCTGGAAAACCTATAGTAGTGTAAAGAAATAAACATGCCTACTGAGTTCAATCCCTGGTTCTGCCCCCCCCCAACAGATATAAGCTAAAGCAGTTATACTTTATTATTTTTTATTTTTTTTGGCTCCGAATGCCTTCAGGGCAGGTTTGGATGGCTTGAGTTCTGGGGATCAAACCACAGCAACCTGAGCCTGACTGCTTTGTTGAAGCAGCCACTTAAAGAATTGAGCTAAGGGGCAGGCCCACAGTTATATTTTAAAGTAATGATATATCCTTATATACAAACCTTATATACAAACCATGTGAAAAACTGGAATATTTATATATACTTTTCTCTACAAAATTACATACTTTTTGAAAAGAAAAAATTTAACATTTCCATGTATTTAACTACAAAATTTTATTTTATTATTATTATTATTATTATTATTATTTTTTTTTTTTGTGGAACTGGGGATTGAACTCAAGCCCCTGCACTTGCCAGACAAGCACTTGTTCTACTGAGCTATCTCCCTGGCCCCCTTAACTATAAAATTTTAAAGAAAATTTTTAGGGGATATAAACTTTAAGTTTACAGTTCTATTTCTTAAGTCTTTAGTAGAAGAGAGTACAGATTAATGAACAGTTTGTCAAAAATATGTTATACTATTTGTTCAATCTGTAAGACAAGAAATATAGACTTATCAACAAATATGAAGTTATTTGCTATTATCACAGCTACTTTTAGAGTCTTTAAAATGCTACTTGTTCTTCCAATGACTTTATAATATTTAAAATAATGCAATTATATTCATTTTGTCTTAGCCTAACTGCTAAGACAACTAACAAACTGGTTTAGGAAACCAGTTTTTTTTTTCTACCATAGACTTGGAAAAAGCTCTAAGGTGTATAGATCGCTTTATAATTTCAAAATTTGGGTATCCAAGCCATGAAAATCTGGGTTATTGGAAACACTTGTACTTTTTTTTTTTTTTTTTTTGGCAGAACCAGGGATTGAACTCAGGCCCTTGTGTATGCAAGGCCAGTGCTTATTCTACTGAGTCATCTCCTCGGCCCCTGTAGTTCTTAAAAGGGCAATAAATATACCCAAGAACATTTCAAATTCATTGAGAATTAATATAAAGGATGAATTTCCTAAATCAGAAAATAACTCTTTTCCTAGAGGTTTCAGGTTACACACTGTAATTAACTGCTCTACCTGAAGAAAGAAGGAGGTTGTACATATACATATATTTTCTTAAAATGCTGCAGCTCATTACATGTCAAAGTGTAAGGGAGGAATGTAATTTAACTTTTTCTTGATTACTGTAATCATATAAGCAATGCTAGAATTCAGGAACAGTCACAGGGCTGAGTAGGTAGACCTGCTGGCCTTTAAATAAAGGTTCATACTGCTCTGGTCTTATTGTGTTGTGTCTCCTTGCCATGAGATGTGACTTCAAGTTATTATTAGTATACCTGACTCTAAGAAAACAATATAAGTAAAGCACTCAGCAGTGTGTGGCACACGGGAAACATCTAATAAAATGTTTGCTTTTGTGATCACCCTCTTCTAATCTGCAACTTCTGACCACTGAAGAAATAAAAACAGAAACTATCAGACTTAAGATAATAGTAAATAGGTTCCATGAATTCAATGTACCAAAGTAATAATTTGAGGCTTTATTATATGCCAGGAACTTAGCTAAATGCTTTACATAAAGTATCTAATTTTCCTACTGTAAGTAATGATGTATATAATATTATCAGTTTATACCCATGAAAGATTCAATACATTAACTTTGTGAAGGTCACTTAAAAACCAATAAAGTTGTTTTCAAACCCTTGTTTAAATTTTAAGTCCCACGGTTTTAAGTACTGTTCAAACTACAACATATGAAATGACTTACTTTTTCAAAAAAGTAAAAAACTGCTCCTCAGTTCTATATGTACAGTTATTAAGTACTGTTCTAAACAAATTAGCTTTTGATGACATCAGAAAATAGTTCTGATCAAGGACATTATGGGGCCACAGAGGAAAGTGATCGATGAGGTAGAGTGTGCCTAAGGAGAGTCACATGGAAAGAAAACATTCTCTCAGGCTTTCACAGACAGCAAATTGGTCAAGCAATGGCCGTGACTCATCCACATGGCTGATACTGACAAGGATCTACAGACTGTGGTACAGGGTTTCAGGATAAATCCTGAGGGGATCTGACTGACCTTGGCAAATACAGAAGTTAAATTTCTTGTTATATAGGTCTTTCTTTATCTTGGTCTTAACCATCCAGCAGAAAAGTATAAAAATGAAGTATAGGGGCCAGGGAGATGGCTCACTAGAATAAGCGCTTCTTTGGCAAGCGCAAGGGCCTGAGTTCAATCCCCGGTTCCACCAAACCCCCCCGCCCCCCAAAAAAACAAAGTATAAAAAGTAAAGCCATATTAATATGCTGAGCTGTAAAAGGCTCAAGTCAACAACTTTTGACATTGCCAGTCTTATGGAAAACCCACTACTATAATGGACTACTGGACTATACTGGAATATTTTGCTGAATTCACGCACCTATAATATTTAAATTACAATGTAATACCCTTCTCTGACAAAAATCAAACAAAAAAAGGGGATACAAATGAAGAACCATTTGGTATCTGTATATTCAAAACTCCTCTCAAAGTCTCTTTAAGGCAGGCACTGAGCTCACCCTGAACTGGCTACACTATTCACCACTGACCCTAGATTGGCCCAGCATCCTGATACAGCTCTGGAATACATAATTCCAGGCTGTCGCCAGTATCAATAGCTTCTATAGCTTAAATAAAATTAAAATGCATCTCTTAGAAGTTACAGTACTTACAGTAAGTAAGCTAGAGGAACTCAGCGTATTCACCCAGTATTTATTCCATAACAGCTCAAGTAATTTTCGATCCAAAGATGACTTGAAATATGAGACTTCTAAGGCATAGTATCTATGCAAAGAAAGCACAAATTCACCTAGTGAAAACATGTTCTATTCAATTATATCATATGAAAGTTATATATGAATGTAACTAAATTGCATTCTATATTCAGGTTGTCAAATCCTAGCACTTGGGAAGCTGAGGCAGGAGAACTGCTAAGAATTTGAGATCAGCCTGGGCTACACAGTGAGTTCAAGGTCAGCCTGAACTATATAGTGAGACTTGTCCCCAAAATATAATCAGAATTTATGAATGACATATTCATACCACCTGGTTTATGATTCCAGCTAATAGCACATACACTTAATGACCTTCCTCTATAGCATCAGCAAAATTGTCTTTTCTTTTTAACTTTTTTTTTTCTTTTTAATTTTTTCCTTTTAGGTTTTTCTT